CCCAGCCTGGTCTGGTGCTAGGAATTAGGGGGGAAGGAGAAGACTTATTAAAATACATTCTCAGGCCCCCCCTCGACTCACTGAGTCCAATCCTCCAGGGCGGGGGCCTGGAAATCTTACTTCAAACAAGTACCCCTGTGAGTCTGCTCAGGCACATGTAGGAAATCCGTAATGGATAATCTCCAGAATTAGTCCTAGTCAGGGATTTCGATGATTTAAAAATACACAGTATAGGTTTTGTATCTAGAAGACCTTCAAAAATCATATTTATTCATATAATTCTCTATTTATACAATACTAGAGGCCCCATGCACAAAATCCGTGCAGGGGGCGGGGAGGTATCCCTCAGCCTGGCCTGCGCTCTCTGGCGATCCGGGACCCCTCGGGTAGGGTCCCTAGGCCTGGCCAACGATCAGGGCCTATGGGGCCTTCCTTCCCCGGCTGCCTGCAGCTGCCCTGTCCCCGCCGCTGCCACTGCTTGCCGTTTGTGCAGTGCTGCCCCCCACCCCCCTGCCACCGGTCCCCTTTTTCTGCGGGCTACAGATGTGGGGTGCGATCACTTGGCTGGCCTGGGCCTCCCTCTGTGGGGCAATCGATTGCAGGGCCTCCAGATCAATCACCCCTCAGAGGGAGGCCCTGCCCACCCACCACAGTGCAGCCAGCTGGGTGGCCCCGCCGACCCGGCCAGGGGTCCACAATTGCAGAGCCGCCCCCCCCCCAATTGATTACCCGTGGGCCAGTGGCCTGGGCCTCCCTCTTTGGGCCAGTCGATTGTGGAGCCCCCCATCGATCGCCCCGCAGAGGGTGGCCTGGGCCTCCTCTGTGGGGTGATCATGGAGTGATGGCAGGGCCCTCCAACCAATCGCATTGCACCCTCCTTGGCTGGCCTGGCGCCAGTGCGTGTCATAGCGCCGTCGTCCAGAAGGTCGTTCTGCTGTTAGACCAGCTGTGGGCAAACTATGGCCCGTTCGGCTGTTCTGTCCGGCCCGCGGAGCCGGAAGTGCGAAGGGTTCTCTTGCTCTCCCCTCCTCTCCTTCCCCAGCAGCAGTGTTAACATGGCAACGTCGGGAAACAAAGGCCGCAGCTCCTTCTTCTGAGTGGGCGGATAGAACCCATTGTGGCCCTCGAGTCAAAAAGTTTGCCCACCCCTGGGCTAG